CTCCCTGGTCTGGATCCTCGCCTTTCCTCGGCTCACTTCAATGGCACACCTGACAGGTCCCAGCGTGCTTTCTATAATTAATGCTTCTCTGGTCTCTGGTCAGGTCCCTGCTTACTTTAAGAACGCTGTAATCCACCCGCTTCTTAAAAACGGAGTCTCGACCCCTCTCTCCATAGCAGCTTCAGACCCATCTCTAAACTTCCGTTCATCTCCAAGATCTTGGAAAAGTTTGTGGCTAAACAACTCACAGCTGCTCTTGATGAACATAACATCTATGATTACTTCCAGTCAGGTTTTTGTAGAGCTCATTCTACTGAAACAGCTCTTCTTAGGGTCTCTAATGACCTTTTGACTCACAGTGATGCAGGGGACTGTTCTGTTCTGGTCCTGTTGGACCTGACTGCAGCCTTTGACACTATTGACCATCACCTGCTGCTGGAGAGGCTCAGAGACAGGGTAGGCCTATCAGGATCTGCTCTGGAGTGGTTCTCCTCTTATCTTTCTGAGCGCTCCTTTTCTGTGGCCGTCTCAAAATTTAGGTCCTCCACCACCTCTATTACCCACAAGGTTCTGTTCTGGGGCCTCTGCTCTTCCTCCTCTATCTGCTTCCTCTTCAGCACATCCTGAGCTCCTTCAAAGGAATGTCTGTCATCATTCTGTAGCACATGCTGGAACATGAGGTCAATGGGAAGGTGTGGAACTCGCCCATACATGAAGGGGGCCAAACCAGTCGTCTCATGCACTGTGCAATTGTAGCAGAATGTGAGGGTGCGTAGCATTTGCAGCCACCTAGCTTTGGCAGTCGGAGGGAGGGTTCTCAGCATATTCCCAAGAGTTCTGTTGAAACGTTCAGTGACAGCCTGCGGGCAACATGTTTTGCTGACTGATTTCGACAGGGGAAAGCGTGAGCCATTTTGGAGAAATAGTCAGTTACGACCAGAACATCCACCTTCTTATTGTCACCAAGCTCAGCGGTCCAAAAATCAGTGCACACTAGTTCCATCGGTTCCAATGTCTGAATGTTTTCTAGTGGTGCACAGGCATCAGGCTCAGGTGTTTTTCCAACTACACATCTCTCACACTGTCGAACATGGTTTGTTATGTCTTTTTCCATCCCGACCCAGAAAAACCTCTCACGGGCGAGAGAAAGTATTCGTGCCTGGCCCTGATGACCTGTATTATCATGGAGGCTGAGGGGGACCTGCCCCTGACAAGATTGGCACGGTGTAGCCTAATCCAGTAATCAAATGCACTCTCGCCTTTTTCTGGAATTGTTGTGTAGAAGTCAGCTAATGGAAGAGGTGAGCACTGATTAGGGGGCAAAGTGTCGCCGCAGGATTCCATAACTAGCCTCTGGGTCGCGGATGATATCCATGTCGCTATTTCTGATGCCAACCTGGACTACATCCTTGGCTTTTCCTCTTAAGTGAACAAGGATCTCTTCAGCTTGTTCTTCAGATCTCAGATTCCCCCTTTTTATGAACGCTCTCATCAAATCCTCCCACTCTATCACAGAAACGAGATCAGAACCATCCCCTCTGAAGCATGGAGGGTCTATAAGCTTCCTGTGGGACACAAGCTGCACAGGTGCAGCACCATCAGCAGCTCGAGATGACACAGTAGGGGAAGATGCTGCTGCAGATGCAGGCAAAGGGGTACTAGCAGATGGGCCGAGCTGGGTTAAAATAATCTGTGCTACTCTCTGACCAACCAGCTGAATCACATCTCCCATCTGACTCGCAATCTCTGTAGCGATATTATCTAGGTTGGGAGAATGTGAACTGTTGTCCTGCGACACAGAGCTAGGGGGAGGGGCAAGAACTCTTTGACTTGACTGAGACCCAGGCATCCCCCGAATACCCCCTCTAACAAAGCCACGCCCACTGACTGGAGTGTCATAACGCAAAACCAAAGGAGAACACAACACCCCCCTACCTCTACCAAAAACAGGAGTACTCGATCCCTCCTGTGTGTGATCCATAATCAAAACCAGAGTATTAGACAATTAGATAGTCAGAATCATTTTTTTTCTTTGCCCTTCAAAAAAATTGTCAGAAGGAATAACCATAAATCACAAGCATGCAGCGGCGAAACTGGTCCCACGTAATGGAGAGGAGTCTACCGCCCAACCAGGAGATCGATGGGTCACGGCACCAATGTAACCCCTTCTGTCTTTATCTCCACCGCTGTAAGAGTGAAACTCTCTGGACTCAAGATGGGTAGAGTTCAGGATTGGTTTATTCCCTCTGCAGGCTTCTGCAATTACATAGGATATGCAAAACTATGGGTTTCCAGCAACAGGATTCTGCCCAAAACACAGCAAAAGCCACCTCGCTACTAACGGAATACCCGGAAAACAGAACGTTCATCTGCAGCGGACTTCCACTGTGGATTTTCAAAAAAAAAAAAATCTAAAAATCGAAGCTAACAAAATAAAACAAACTCCATGTTTGCAATAGCAGGTTTTAACAGGAATTTAACAACAACGAAACCATGTTAATTATTTACACCGTTACATATGCCAATTTTTCTCATTGTTTATCAGTAATTTTCACTAACTTATTTGAGCATCTTTACATTTTTCTATATTTAACGGTTGCAAATGTTAAATGTAAAGTAATTTTTTTATTTTCTCATTGTACTGTCAAATGTACGGTAAAATACTGGCAGCTGTGGTTGCCACTAATTTACCGTAAAATGTGTTAAGTACAAATAAAATGCTGTAATTTCTTATACAGTTTCACTGTGTTTTTTATTGTTAAAGGTTTCAATAAAATTTACCATATTTTTATTTGTAGTTATTTGCCATAATAAGGTTTATCCTATTACTGTTAAATTAACAACAAATCAATGTAAATATTACTATAACTTTTTAACTGTAAAAATCCGTAAAAAGCTATGTAAAGTTACTTTTTTTTTTTACATAAAATTACTGTATAATAGACAAATATATTAGTTATTTTTCCTGCCATGATTTTGGTAAAAAAAAACATTGTCTACTGTAAAATTTAGGATTACAAAACCAGTATACCGTATTTTCATTTACAGATTACACATTTTTTTCACGGTATATTCCTGGCAACCACAGCTGCCGGTATTTTACCGTAAACTTGACAGATTTTTTTTACAGTGTGGGATGGGAGGAGCCAAGCCGAGTAGAGTCCAATAAATCCTAACCCTGGACCGACTCTGAGATGGGACCCATTCCTGTGGGAATGCAGACCGCTGAGCTTTGGAGTGAAAACCTATCAGGTATTGCTGAGGTCCTCCGTGATCAATAACATAGAATAACGGACATCAGATCAGCTTTAGATGAAAGAAGAGGAGGGAGGGTCTACACTGCTGGTGTTGGGTTAGAGAACACCTCACTCAGTAAATCCATTGTAGCATTGTTAGCTTAAGCATTCTTTATCGTGACTAAACAATGTGCTAACATGTGTAGCTAGAAATAGATTCTGGAGAGAAAAACAGAACAGAGTGCTTCTGTCACATTTGTCTGAAAAGCTCCACCAATAACACGTTTCAGACCAACAGCAACCATCTGGTTGTCGGTCTCACTGAACCACCACACTTCCCCGGGTCCTCCGCAGCAACAGACACCACTGGTGTGAGAGGTTCTCTGCTCTGTAACATCAGAGGAGAAACAGCCAGCTGCTACCTCTTCGAGAAAAACACCGTTTGACATCACAGACAGCAAAGGCGTTTGGACCTGGAGAACGGAGACTAGTGTTTAGAGCCATCTCGTTTTCTCTGGCCCGTTTGGGCCCACCATGGGCTTTGAGGGCTGTGTTTGGTCTAGTGTGGGCAGGGCAAACCCACTTACCCCAGAATTAACCAACAAGGATTTTGTGTATGGTTGCATGAACCACATAACTTTTCCCACGTGGGCCCCTTTCAGATTTAGTTAAGGGCCACCCACAAGTCCCATGCTTGACACCAACAACGCCACTGTGGGTAGTCCTTGGCCACATGCCACTGTGGGTGCCCACAGATTCCCCCATGAGGATTTAAACTCGGCACACGGCTGGATTTCCCATACTGGCTTTTACCCACGGTGTGTGGATACTCCTGTGGGTGCCCACGCATCGGTGCAGACATTCATTGGGCGGACACAGGGCCCACCACAAGGGCTCAGCATGGGGTGGATCTGGGCAGATATGTCTGTGGGTTTCCCAAAGGGGCCCATGTGTGAAAAGACATGTTGGCCCCATTCATACACCCGATCCTTGTGTGATAACTCTGGGGTAAGTGTGGGTTTCACTGCCTGTACTACCCCAGACACAGCCCACGGAGGGCCCAGACAGGCATGTCGGCTCGGTTCACTTCAATTCAGTGTGAATTCTAGTCCAGAATCTTATTATTGGACTTAGAAAATATAGTTTTAAAAAATATCTAAGATACGTGACACAAGTTCTCTAAATACATATTAGAGTTATTATAATATTTAGTGATTGTGATGGTAAAGCAGCAGTAGCTCAGGAGGTTGTAGGTTCAATCCCAGCTTTGCCCAGGTTAACATCCCCGTGTTGGGAGGGCAGCAGTGGATTATCATCAGCTTCGGTGGGAGGTCCTACAGGAATAAACGTTTGAGGACAGCTGTGTAGTCATGGTGAAGAACTGGTGCTCACCCCTCTAACAGCCATGTCTGGGCTCAGAGTGTGTGTGTGTGTGTGTAGGGGGGGCCGCAAGATTTCCACCATGTTTACTGACACAACACATTTTAATGGTTTCTGCTGCTGAGTGTCAACCATTGGGAAACACAGTCATGTGACTACAGTGGAACACTAACATTCTTTGTTTATGGCCCAGTCGAAAACCAGACGTTCCACTCTCACACACACACACACATACGCGCGCGCACACACACACACACACTCACACTCTTCTGGTTTGGGTTCATATTCAGGTGGATGTGTAATGTTCAGCAGAAGAGGAGGTGGGCGGAGTTTGAGTTTCAGTGGTCATCTGACCCAGGAACTCACTAATCATCAGAGAACATGTACAAAAGTAGTATTTTATTAAACATAAACAAACATAAATAAAAACAGGTGTGCCAGAGCATGAGGAGGAATAACAAAGTCACAAACATGGACACAGTTGTCAGAATGAGACTCTTAAGTACAGGATCTGTGTTTCAACAAGCGTGTCTGGGCGCTGCGTACTGGATGTTAGGTGTAAATGTTTGGCCAGCTGCCCTGTGGCTCTACAGCTAATAAATAAATACTTAGTGCATGTTCCCACTGACCTCCCTGGAGAGCCAAATGAAAACCAGAATTAAGTTAAGAGGAGCCGAACTCAGCTCTGCTCCCGTGAAGACGCCAGGCAGGCCGGCTGTCTGCGTCTCTTCTTTAGGAACCTTTTCACAGCAAACCCAACCAAGCAGGACAGGAGCCGGTGGGCCAGCCAGGGCTGCTGGGTCAAACATCCTGAATCCATCTGGCTGCTGTGAAGTAGGTCTGTCACTAACAAAACAAGTCTGAATGACACGTCAAGTGGTTTCTGTCACACCTCAGAGGACCGGAGCACACAATGGTTCTGTCGCACAAGGTCTGGGTCAAAGTTCAACCTTCCAGGTTAAGAGAACAATCGCACATTTCCACACGTCTGACATTTCACTGGTCCACACCTTCGGTACAAACAGCCGTGCCGGACCTGGTTCTGGTTCTGCTACCAGCACCGAGATGTCGGCTTGTCTCTCTTACAGCTAACATTTCACCTCCTCAGTTCATCAGCTCCGGTTCCCACAACCAGATGGTCTGACACAAATCAGAACCCTGTCTGTACCTAGGTGGGAGGGTGGACAGGTGGGCCGAGGACTCCAGGGTCTTCCATGAAGAAAGTGAAACAGAAATCAACAACAGGTGGGTTTAAAACAGGACACATAAGTAACAGTGTTTCTTTGGTGTTCATGTTCAGTAGCATGCTGGCTCTCAGTTCCCCATCTTTATGGCCCCAAAGTACGTCCCCTCTGCCTCCTTGTCTAGCAGCCATGCGTTGGACACGTTGACAAACACTGCGTCTCCCTTGTCCAGGTAAATAGCTCGTCCCTGTTGGGCGCAGTACATGTTATAGCTGGTGTTGTCCCAGCGCATGGTGCTGCCCGTCTTCATCAGCACCGCTGGCTTGTTGCTGTTTTGTCTGATGCTTTGGTGGAACACGTACTGGATCAGCTGGGTGTTGCTGACGTCCACTGAAGCCTGGATGCTGTCTCCATGGTTGTAGTAGCGGAAGCAGGTTTTAGCATAGACATAGTAGAGACCCGACACCATCACAAACAGCTTCCCGTTCTGGTAGCTCATGTTACGAACGGTTGAGTGCACTTCATCCCAGTTGATCAGAACCGAGTCGGCCTCTGAAAGACAGTAAAAAAAGACAAGAGGGTTTTGATTGGTAGTTGAAGCAGCTGTTTGACCAAAGAGATTCATCAGGAGATGAAAGTGTGAGAACTAAAAGAAAGCACTGGTCAGTGGAGCTGTTCAGTTCAGTGCTAACGACATCCTGTCATATACACATACAAGTCCTGTCATATGACCTGATTCCAATGTAAATGACCCGTATTAGATATAGCGCCTTCTAGAGTCCTGGAACCCCCCAAGGCACTTTACAACACAATCAGTCATTCACTCATTCACATGCTGGTGGTGATGAGCTACAATGTAGCCACAGCTGCCCTGGGGTGTGCTGACAGAGGCGAATCTGCTGGCGCCACCGGTCACTCCGACCACCACCAGCAGGCAGCGGGGGTTTAAGTGTCTTGCCCAAGGACACAACGACAGTGACAGACTGAGCGGGGCTCAAACCTTACGGGACGAGCACTTAACTCCTATGCCACCGTCCATAAACAAACGCTGCCACATGATTAGAAATAAGAGTCCAAAGCTACCAAAACATCAATAGAATACAACTGTAACGTCACGTAATGCCCTGGTTTTAAGACTCACAGGTCAGATACACAGCCTGGGTCACCTTGCCCTGGCTACTACTCCAATCTGCAATATAGTCCTTCACAGCAGACTTAGTCTGCTACGACTCCTTTAATCTATGCAGCTGTCTGCTTATCTGACTGCTATTCCATCCAGCAAGAAGAGGACATTTCAAGATTTAAAAGAATCATTTAAATAAACTCTCTTTACTGCTATTCATTAAGGTTCATTATAACTGTGTTTAATTACTGAAATGAATTCTTATTCTTTGGTTAATAATTATTTATGATAATCAGTAATGTGTAACTATGACAAGAATCATGTGCACTTAGTCAGCTCACACAGGTCACAGTAACTAAGTTAAAGGTAACTGCACTCACATGATCTTTTCCCATAACACCAGAACTTTCTATCTTCAGGGAGGCATGTTTCTGAGGGTTTGTTAAATCTTCCTTCTACATGCCAAAACCTGATTTGTTAGAAATGATAATAGCCATCTTTTAAAACAACTCTCGTCATTTGCGAGGGAGTTCTAGAGAAGTTGGGACGGCTGCCCAACGCTCTTTAACCAAACAAGCGATTTCTGTCACGCTGGCAGAATTACTCCGACACAACAAAACGACATCTGCAGAACAAGCTGATGCTACGAGATTCCTTAAGAATCTGCAGACGCAAACCAATTCCACCTGTGTGCCTGCTGCATCTCTAGGACCGGAGAAGTCGCTACCATCGGTCTTCCCTACCGGACCCAGTACCCTGAGGCTGTTCCAACATCCTATTCTGACCTCCGGATCCACGACGAGGGTCGCCTGACGGTGAGGTAGAACACAGATTGCATCTGAATGCTCTTCAATAAGAACAACTTAGCTTATTGACAAAACCAAATTCTTTCTCCACCCAGAACGTGTCTGCCTGAACTTGCTGACTAAGTGCACATGATTCTTGTCATAGTTAAACACTACTGATTATCATAAATAATTATTAACCAAAGAATAATAATCCTTCCATGACGAGGGTCGCCTGACGGTGAGGTAGAACATAGATTATGTCTCTAATGCATTTAAGCAATCTAAACAATAAATCCAAAGAAATGTAAACTTACAAACTGAAATCATGAAAAATGCGCGAGAGTACTAAGTGGACTTACAATGGTACCACAGATCAATGCAGAAGTGAAGGCAACCAGCATTGAAGTGGTCGCATTTAGAATCAGTGATACATGCCTTAATTCTCTTTTGTACATTCGTTCTGTGTTTATCTTCGTAATCCATTTCATTGTTCTTTTTACACAGTTTAGTGACGAAAAGGTAGTTTTTTACTTGACAGATTTTGACTAATGTCTCTAGCAGCAAGGAGGACGCGGGCAGTAGAGGGCAACATTGTCCTCTGCTGCCCACAGATAAACAGAAGTGATGCCACCAACACCAGCAATCTCTGTTGATGACTAGAAATGTTAGTCCAAACAAGTCACGTAAAAAAAATGTTTTTCACTAAAATGTGTAAAAAAAGAACAAAGAAATGGACATGCCTTTGTTACCTTTTGTCTGGATTATGCAAACTCACTGCTCCTGTTACAGATTGTTCAGAATGCTGCCAGCAAGGTTTCTGACCAATACAAGCAGGTAGAGTCATATCACACCAGTTTTGGCCCATCTCCAGTGGCTTCCTGTTTTGTTCAGGGTACAATTTAAGATCTTACTGTTTTGCCTTTAAGGCACTGAATGGTCAGGCACCTGCATATTTGTCTGACCTGTTTAGGCCATAGGGGCTGATGCGCCCACTACAGTAGGTTGATGGATGCTAGTCTGTCCACCTACCATGAACTATAAAATGAGGGGGAAAAAGGCCTTCATGAATACTGTGCCAGAACTGTAAAATGCTCTGTCCATTGCAATCCACCGATCACCCACTGACACACTTTTTTAAGCCCACACTCAACACCCACTTTTATGATCTAGCTTTTAAATCATCACTGATCTGTTTCACATTTTAGCTTCTAGAGCTTTTACTTGTTTTTATTTTATTTTTTAAAGTATGATTTATTTACAGATTTCATACCATCAAAACAAACCCAATTACAACCAACGCAGCAGACCCACAAAACTAAAACAAAACCTTTGAGAAAAGTTGTACATGAGTATCATCTAGCACATTCATCACACACATAGTCCTCACTGTGTATCGTCCATTTTGAGCGAAGTAACATGCTTTACTGTTGCAAGCTCTCGCATGCCAAAAACAATGGGAGGTAATAAACAAAGTCATAAGGAGCGCAAAGATAAGCTCAAGTTCGCTCCTGCGAGTGGAATCAGGCAGGTGATAAGGAGGAGTGGTCCAACTGAACAGGAAGTAGCACAGGATGCGGGACAGAAGAAGGCAAATTGAAGAGACATCTCAGAATGTGAAAGTCCTCTGTGGGGGAGTTTGACTTTGGGTGGACCTGAAACCAGCTTACAAATATAACGACCATATGGTTTTGGCTGTCTTGTGTTTGACTGAGATATTTAACTGACAAATAATGACATTGTTTTGCTGTCTTGTGATAAAAAGATGTATGTAACTGACAAATGATTACACTGTTTAGGCTGTCTCATGACTGGTTGAGATATTGCTTCACTATGGAAAATGTTTGGCTTGGCAGTTTGTTAGAATGATATAAAAAGAGCAGTTAGAGTCAGACAGAGCAGTGGTAGAGAGTAAGAGAGTAGAGGTGGGATAGAAGAGGTCGTCCTCCGTCCTCTGGAGGATGACGAGAGAAGTTGAAGAGAGTTAGAGTGTGTGACAGAGCTGACACAAGTCGACGAAGTAGCAGCGACCAGTTATCCTCTGGAAGATTTTTAGAAGCAGCATTCTCCTAAGGGGATTTGTTAATCTTCAATTTACTCTTTTTTGTACTTTTTAATTTTGAAATAAACTTTTTGGAAAAAGAATCCTCGTTCTCAATTCTTAAAGGTCTCTATTAGCCTTTGAGTTGGGAGCCCCGACCAGATCCAAAGGAGAGGTAAGCCACCTTGAATTGCTTGTTCCTGTGCTTCAGGACTTGTTTTCAGGTTGTGACAGATTAAGAAAAGATACCTTAGGTAATGGGAGCTAGTCTCCTCTCCTCCTTGGTTGTGGGACACCCTAAGGGTTATAGATCATAATGGTTCAATGGTTCAAACAGGCTTTGTTCTGCACTGAAAAAGTCTCTGTTTAGCGTGGGAAGGAACCATTTCAAAGGGTGGATTAATTAGATTAATTGATAAATCCATGTTAGCCTGATCAACTAACAGGAATCATTTTCTAGTTACCACCGCCCACATTGCTGACAGATTAATCCTGATAGGACCCAAATAATAGTCACCTAGATGGCCTCTAGTGAACTTCCACCCTAGTAATTAAAACCATTAAATAACGAGAGAGTTAAAAGGGAAGTGTGTTATCACAGAAGAACAAGTATGGCAATCTTCATTCCAATTTAAAATAGAAAAAGAATTCTAATTAGGGAGTCCAAACCAGGGTCTGTACAATAAAACTCACCTGCGACCTCACCTCCCTGAAAAAGCAGCGTATTCTAAGGTTCTAACGGAACCAATATAAGTACACGCTCGCGACATTACAAGAGGTAGCCATATCTTAAGACAGTCATTATCAGAACCTCTGAGGGAATATTTAATCTTTTCCAATTTCAAAAAGTAAGAGACATCTTTGATCCATTGAGAGTGAGTTGGCATGTGAGTATTTCCAGTGAAATAAAATAACTCCTGCCAGGAATGTGAAAAAAAGCGACCATGTCAGCAAAGTGGGCAGGTAAGGTACAATCCAGAGGAGGGATACCGAACAGGGTAGACAGAGGAGATTGTGGGATTTTCATAGACGCAATAGCTGAAAGTGAGTCAAAACCAGATTTGTAAAGGGATGATAACGTAGGACAGGTCAGAAACATGTATAAGGTTGGTTGGGCCAAGAGAACATCCTAAACAGTTTGAATCAATATTAGAGAAAATCTGAGCCTACCTGCTCCTGGACCAGTGTACCCTATACACTACCTTACATTGAAGAATGCAATGCCTAACATACATGTTGGAGAAGACTGAATTTATAGACCCCGAACCATGGGAACAAACATCCCGGTTCTAAAGTCAATCTTCACCCACGTACATCACACGCCACGTGATCAGGAAGCAGAAAATCCATGTGTTAGGAGATCGTTTTGGGCCGCTGTTGTAAAAAAAGTGAGGTGCGATCCGGAAAAGCTTCTGCCGATCACAATTCGACAACAGATTATGAAAGAACGAATAATGCTCGAAATGTGCAGATTTTTCCTGATGTAAGGGGTGAGTCTCTGCTTTGTTTTGGTTGTTTTGGCGCTGACATCGTCATAGTGTGCAAAGTTCTGTGACTCTTAAAAAAACTGTGAAAACGCTAAAAAACGCTGGCAGCGAAGGGC